TTCTGTATTTTATCAACCAAACCATATTATTCGCAAATTATATGTCTCGGACGATTTATTTACAAATTATTCTTATATTTTTCTCGTATCTGAATTTTTGTCAAATTTTTATAAATATTTTTTTTATCATTTATCATATTATATCCACAAAATTCTTGTACCATTTTTTTGTCATATCTATATATTTAAAATGCTATATTGATTTTAATCAGATGATTTATGAAAAATGTTAAAACTATGATTGATATTATTATATTTTTTAAAACGTATTATTAATAATATATCATATTAAATCTATAAATATATGTATTATATTTTTTTTTATCTAAATTTTATTTCTAAATTTTTAGAAATGTATTTTTTACTATTTACAGTATTAGACCGGCAAAATTTCAATAACCTTTTTTTCCCGTAGCCGTGTTTACTAAAAGGAGGGTCAATTTAATTTGCTAAAACGTGTGGGGGTTTCCCAAAAACAAAAATGAAGTTCATATTGTCTGACGTAAGACATCCCTCCATTGAATTTTCTTCCGGATTAAAGAGAAGAGAAGCTTCCACATAACCCCACCTTCATAAGTCTCTTGTCCTCTGCTCACCGCCTTCCATATTTAAATAAATCCCTTCAAGAATCATTCATCTGTTATTCGAAAGTGAAAGTTTAAGACTTTGGTAGATTTATCACTTCAATGGAATCTTACGGTAGACCCTACTCCTCCCAACCCTATGCTCCCTCCGCACCCTCTTTGCCGGACTCCTACGCCCAGCCCTCTAACCATTCCTACAACACCAACACTTTGCCGGGCTCCTACGCCCAGCCCTCTAACCATTCCTACAACACCACCACTTCGCCGCCGCCACCTCCAAGCTACTATGGCCAACCGCCGCCTCAGCCGCCGTACCACCACCAAGCACAGGGTTATGGCTACCCACAGCCACCGGCGCCGAGTTATGGGCATAATTCATTTCCTCCGGGGACAAACCCGGATGTTATAAGGAGTTTTGAGATGGTTGATAGAGATCGGAGTGGTTTTATTGACGATAAAGAGTTGCAGCAAGCTCTATCTTCTGCGCACCAGAGGTTTTCTCTCAGAACTATAAAGCTGCTCATCTTTCTTTTCAAGGATCCGCATGATTCTTCTTTGCGAATCGGTTTGTTCTTTTCATCTTTCTTACTTTTCGGCTTTATCTTGGGTTTGAATTATGCAATTTTAATTTAGGGCATCTTTACGGAGAAAACCCTTCAAAAAAAATTCTATCAAAAAATGATAACCTACAATTATTTTTTTCGATCGAGGAACCAATGCACGCTTAACTGGATTTTTACATACTCGGTAATTAGTTGACAGTCTATTGAATGAACTGGGGTATTGCTGCTGATGTTATTTTCGGACTGAGTTTTAATTAATTGTATGCAATTATGACATGGTTTTTGAGTGGGATTACTTCTATGGGATATTTTCATATTGGTTCTTTATATGTGTCAAGGGTTTTGACTTTTATACAAATTCTCTTTCTCCTTTGATTACTTTGACCAGTTAAAGCAAATAAAAGCTTTGCTGCTTTTTTCTTTGGCTTTATAGTCGTTTGTTTCAGATTCACTTTGTTGAAATTTTTCCATGAGCTGATGTTAAGCTAAATTCCTGTGACAGGGCCCAAGGAATTTGCTGCATTGTGGAGTTGCCTTGGTGAATGGCGAGTGAGTGGTTTTAACCTTGTTGATATTTTTAAATAGTTTTTTTTTTAAGGCGTGGGAGAAATTTTGGGAAAATGAACATTTATGGTCTTTAAACCATTCTATTTCGTTTATCTTCCAACACATGACAGAGACCACAAATGAAAAAAAAAAAAAAAAAGTAATTTCGCTCTCTTTTGTAGGGAGATTTCCCATGAACTCAGTGGTGGTACATATCTAATTGTGCAAATTCTTTATGTCTTAATATTTTGTTTATAAATTAATTGTATCGATTCTACTAGACCAATTATTGCAAAATGAAATTTGACATTTTTGGTAACATTTAGGAAGGAAATGCTTTTGTTATAGCATTATTACAATGTTAGGCTATTGCAGTTGTTTGGCATGATGGTGCATGTATTTATCTATTTTGCTGTCAAATTTGTCTACGTACTTGTATCAAATCTTACTAAGGAAGAAAACAGTAAACTAAGAGGAACGGTTGCATTGTAAATTTGATATTTTAGATGAAGATATTGATCAGTGTGCTTCTAGAAAATACTTCTGACTTCTGAGGTCTTTGCTCATCAAGTTTCCAGAGACATTCTGGTCAATATGTATTGCATGCATTTTTGCCTTGTTGGGACACCCTTACCCTTGCACAGGATAACTAAAGATTGAGATGCACTTCAATGCCTATATAATTTCTTTTGACTGTCGTCTTTTTTTCAATGCCATTTTCTATTTCATGAAAAATTAAGTTCAATTTTCTGTGCTTAATGTCAAGCATGGAATTTGTTCTTGTAGGGCATATTTCAGAGATATGATAGAGATAGAAGTGGGAAAATTGATTTGATGGAATTGAGGGATGCTCTCTACAGTACTGGATATGCAGTCCCACCTTCAGTCCTCCAACTTTTGATGTCCAAGTATGAGAGTGGAAATGGCAGGAAAAATGAACTCAGTTTTGACAGTTTTGTTGAGTAAGGCTCCTATTTTATTATACTTGTACTTGTGCTTTTACTTATTTACTTATTTTTCTTTGTTTTTGAGAGTTTTAGCATGTTCTAATGACAATCTTTTGTTTTACTGGATATGCAGATGTGGGATGATTGTGAAGGTGAGTCCTCAAATTGCTACTGCATTTCTTTCTTTCTTTTGTTAGTTACCTTCTCAATTTAATTTTAATCAATGAATCAGTCTTCCCTAATCTTCGGTTATCAGAACAGTTTCTGTGATGTTCTATTCATCTTAAACATATGTGCATGTACAAAGTCAGAGCCCTGTTTCTAAATCTTTGTGCTTCTTAGAATGTTTAGTTTAAGCATATATTAAAATTAGATAGAATTACACCAAACTCTTTTAATGTTGATACATTATTTGATCATGTGAAGCTATTGTGGTTTCAGGGTTTGACTGAAAAATTCAAGGAGAAGGATTCACGTTACACTGGTTCAGCAACACTTACTTATGACTCATTCATGTCTATGGTCATTCCCTTCATTGTGCAATATGATTGACTTAATTGGTAGTATATGTTTTATAACCTTGAGTTCTTTCATTCAGTTGTATAATTTAAAGGAGAATTTGTATATTGATGAGTGGCAAGTGTGAATGAAATTTTAATGCAAGATTGAGTTAGGTTTCTCTTCTATGGAAAGCAAGCGTGACTGTGATTTCTTTGATTCATGCTCCTTTTAGAGAGAAACTATAGATGAAAAAACCAAATAGCGATTAGAAATTTTGTGCTGCTTAGACCAAACCATCAATTGATCCTGTTTTCCGTGTGTAAATTTGAAACAAAAATATATTTCTAGTGTTTCAAGTGATGTGTTTTTGAAGTTGGAAGAAATATTGGTATTGAGGTAGAAAGTTGGGAAGTATAGTGTTATTTGTGAATTAAACATGTTTAGCCAAATTCTAATATTACTCATTGATCATATGCCAGAATCCTCTAGAGTGCCACTTTTTCAGCTTTGAAATGATACGCAACATGGAAATTGGAATTATCATACCCCTTTTTTTCAATCATCAAATTCACATTTCACATAAGAAATTTAAAAACAATCCATTCTCATTAAGGTTCTTAAGCTGTTACAACCAATAAGTCTATAATCTTAAAAACAATACCCAGTTTATATTACACCAATGCCAATACCAATATCAAGATCAAGTTCTATTTTATTAGGCCTTACTTTGTTAAAGAATCGTATACTAATTCCTTATTGGTATGTATATTTATGTCTTTATTTTTTTAGATTACCCAGAATACAGCTCTCGGATGTATTAGCGAAAAAAATTTATCTGTTGTAAATGATCCTGCAAAGTTGATAAACCATTACTCCATTTCCAATCCACTGCTGCAAAATTAAAGCCATGCTACTGTTTTCCCCTTCACATAAATACTGCAATATGTCGATTAAAATGATCCCAAATTTTGAACAACTATTTAAATACCGTGTTTCTAGATAGTCAACTCAATCGACAGATTATAGATTTATAGTTCAACACCTTTAAAGGGACAGCCTACCATCCCCTGTAAATTAAATTATGGGTTCTCAAATTTTGAAGCAGCCAGCTCTCTTTTTCAATAGACATCATATCATGCACGTTAGTAAGCTACCAAACTAGCCAGTTGTTGATCTGTTCCAATAAACAAAATATTAAGATTTCATATGTTTGATGTTTACCTCGGGCCCAATATTAATTTGAAGGTCATTAAGTATTTCTTGGTAGTCATGTTGATGTTTTAATGAAAGATTAGTGTCAAAACACTTGGGTTTGATTTGCCAGAGAGAGACCACCACCATTGACGGCTACAACTACAACTACAAGCTTAGGCATATTGTGGTAGATAAGACGTCATTATGTTGAACAGTCATGGGGAATTCGTCTATGATCTGTCAACCTTATCCTTTTGCTGAGGCAGGCGTAACCATAAAGCAATAAACATAAGGTCCACGATGTTGAAACCCACTACCCCCCACCACTTTGATCTCAAGTATCAGCTGATGTTACATTTTTAACCATTTCCAACATTATTTTCACCCAGAAAATTGTTTCAGAGATTATGGTGGGATAAGTACAACAATGGTTGATGCTAGGAGTTCTCTTTTGGTGAAAGAGAATCAAAGATACGGACAAAAGAGCAAACCATTCAAAAACAAAGACAAAATTGATGAGATTGATATAATTGAAATTATATATTGTGGGCAAAAATGAATGCGTCAATGGGCTGCCGAAAGGAAAGACGGTGGCTGATAGAGAAGCCAATTTGGACTTTTGTGAAGGTTAAGACAGCGAGAATTTTTCAACTCTGGAAGATGCGCATGCATGATTGCAGTGGACATAAGAAAGAGAGAGACCCCTTTTCATATCTTTAGTAAACAATTCAAAAAAGTTTTAAGATTTAAATATAAATTTCTGAGTTTAATATGAAATTAAGCATTATTTACTTGATGCATGTAACAAGTTAAAAATGGACAAGTTTGGTACTATGAAATGATTCCCCAAAATCTCAGCCGTGTAATGCCTAAATGTCAGATAAGAATCTAATGACAATCTGCAGGATCTGACGGCCCAATTGCAAAATACATTTTATAGATGAAAAGTGCCTCCGAATTTGAATGTGTGGTTCTCCAGGGATTTTATTAATTAACATTTGTCAGTGTGTATACGAAAGAATAATAGGAATTTGTATTCTGGTTCAGAATTTTGTGTTACTGATCTGACAAATAGGAGTTGAATTTATAATATCTTACCTCTAAAATTTCTTCTCTGGTATATGAAAGATCACTAGGAATTAACTATGTTGTTTTTGCTTTAACTCTATCTCCCTCAGTTGACAAATTCAGAAGCTTTTACAGTAAAAGTAACCATGCTATGACATAGATCAGAAGACCGAAGACAGGAAAAACCTGCAAAATACCCAAAAAGGAAAAAGGAAAATGTAAGACACGGTGCATTGTAAAGGTGATAAAAGGGGAAAAAGAGAAAGATCTTACATTAATCTTGGAAGCAGAAGCCATCTGATCTGGAACTGGAAGATAACCCTGCAATCCAATGTTATAAACTGGCCTACCATCAGGATAATACAGCCCATAGTTCCTCTCCGATGCAGGACCCGGCTTTAAATTCTCGTTAAAAAGTGCAAAAACGTATATATCAATGGGGACTGATGGCTTTGCAGGTGTACCTTGCTTCTGGTCAATCCTCTTCAACAAATTACCATTATAAAGTCCTGCATTTTCTATGGTAGCTCCGGCCTCATCTTCATCTCCGTTCGATGGCCACCCTGTCTCGGAAACCCTGACTTCGATATCTGTATGTCCCATTGCTTTAATGGCTGAATAAACAGCATCAACTTGAGCATATAACATGTTGTCATAGTTCAAATTAGTGTTGGGATCTATCATCCCTTGGTTAGGCTGAAAGAGCACATAATCTAGGGAGACCTCGTTGGGGCTACCCTTGTATGCAAAATAGGGATATGCATTGATCAAGAAAGGAGATTTCACTTGAGCATGAAAACTGAGAAGGGGTTGGATGTATTCAGCGAGATCGGGCCTGAAGCTTCCAGCCGAAGGAGGGAAAGAATTAGCCAAGATGTCGAGTGAGTGAGCGCTCGTGACGATCACTTGTTTGTCGAGTCCAAGATCAACGAGGGTCTTATACACGGTTTGCATTGCCGGGAGGAGAAATGAATAGAGCCGGGTGTCATTGTCTTTGAATACTTCATTTCCAACGGTGATGCAAGCTATTCTCGTTTGAGGGATGTGAGGCTGTAAACTTTGTTGAACCCAATTTTGAGCCTTGATTGGATCAGTCATGTTCTCCAGGTACTCATTTCCGAGTCCAATTATAAACTCTACTTGTGTATTTGAGAATGCGAGAAGGACATTTGGATCTGCATCGTATAATTTCACTCTTCTTATGTTGAGGGATCTTAAAAGAACTGACACTCGAGAGGGAGACGGAAGATTGTTTGCTATCTGACCATAATTGATTCCTACTCCCAGGCCAAGGATTTGCACCACTGAACCTGAAAACAGAGTTGGAAAGAAGGTAAAAACAGAGAAAAAAAAATTCCCTAAAACAAAAGAGAGAAGAAGAATAAAAGTATTATGGTTAAATTCTTGGAAAAAAAAAATAATAATAACCAGTGAATATCATTCAATTCTGAAAAAGGAATATCAAGATAAAAAATTGAAGACATGATATTCAGAAATTTAAAGAAGATATGAAGAGAGCATCTGTCTTGTACAAGAGAAGGAGAAAAGATTTTTGAATTCTGAAATTTAGTTTAAAAGCAATGAAAAGATAAATTTTCAATAACTGCACGTACCATAGTAAAAGGGTGATGCAATTTAATAAGAATCTAAATTAAGTTGGAAGCAAAAAGATGAGTGCATGAAAAGGTACTTTGAATAGACAAATCAGATCAGGTATTGGAATCCAAAACATAAAAAAATTTCATGGTTACATTCATTGAATGTTAATGGAAACTCAATCTTGATACTCTAATTCATTTGTGTTCTTCTTCCTGCATTTTTCTTAGCAGCCAAATAGAAGAGAGCAGAGCAGAAACAGAGTGCAAGTAGAGTTGAAAAAGAACAAACCTGAAAAAGTGAAAATAATGAGAAAGATTGTAGGAAGGAGGAAGCTGCAGCCGCCCATTAGTGATCTGATCTTGGGTAAACCAAGACAGACAACACCGCCACCACCACCCTTGAAAATTATTTGTGTGAGAGAGGAGACAGATTGTCTCCTCTCCTCTCTTCATATATATAATTATATAGGGCGGTAAGAGCTACTCTGTTTTACGTCCTCTGTTTATCTGTTCACAGCCGTCCCATATTTTTTTTTTTATTCATTTCATTTATTTAATTTTTAATTTTGGGTCAATTACAGTTGCCTCCCATGAGGGCCGCGCGTGGAAAATATCTTTATCACCTCTTACGTTCGAGAAATATCTAGGACCCCCTGCTTTTTGTTGACTAGAAAAATTATTGAGCAATGATAAGTTTACTGAAAGTGCATTTAGCTCCTAAATAGGATTATTCCACTTAGATTAACAAATTAAGGTCTACACTCACAATCAAAATTAATGGTCGAAGAATGACTTATGTTGATTGAATTTGTGCGTTGTTGTTCCTTCGTTCATTTCACTACACAAACTCAATGATATGAGCTCACTTTCATGTTTATAATTAAATAGGGGCATATGTTAAGACTTAAGACAACAAGCGTATAAAATTTTTATTATATCAATGCATTGGAACATGTTTTTATTTTGTCTTTTGTATATAAACTTTGTCCAAATATAACTACCGCTGGGTGACCTAATGGTAAAAAAGAAAAGGAGAATACTGACATGATCTCTCAATTTCGAGTTCCCTTGCTGGTAAAAGAGCAAGAGAAGGATCTAACATGGTCTTCCAAGTTCGAGTCCCCACGACCTCTGATAGGAGTGATCACTAAAACTCTTACACAGCTGATAGTTCTAGGATCTCAGGGTATTAGTTAAGGTGCGCATACAAACTGGTCCAGATACCCCTGGTCATTAAAAAAAAAAAAAAAATTTGTCGAAGTAATTAATTTTTTTGTATATTTGTAGTTTTAACATGCCCTTTAAGACATGAGTGAAAACAACTCTTTATTATTATATAAATCTTAAAAATGGGTTTTATTAACACTTATAGAACCAAAGTTCTAATAATATTTGTAATTAATTCATTAAAAAAAGAGCATAGCTTATTGTTTATGAAATATCACAGTCTAATCATTTAGTAAAGAAAAAGTATGGTGTTAAACAGAAAAGATGTAGAGATATTTATTAAACCTAAAGGGGGTTAAGGGTAATTTAGCATGAGTTGTTTTCTTACACGTAACAAGCATTGACCAATGCGTTTCGATGATTTACCGACGGAGTAATTTCGGATTTTTGTATTATTATTATTTATTTCAGGAAAAATAAAATAAGAAGCCTGAATCGGGGTTCCTTTCAAGTGGGAAAGTTGATAGGGACCATTCCATTACTGGGAACACCAATTTGAACGGTCCTCTACTATCACATCTGTCTTTTGTTTTAATGTACAAGATAAAAATATATAATGACATACATAATAAAAATTCACAGTAAAGATGATGAGTTTTGTTGATTCAGATTTTCACATCAACTATTCGTACATATAAAGTATTAAGTTATTTTTAAAAATTACACGTGAATGATTCATGAGAAATGTTTATAGTGCAAAGATTATATATGTTTGCAGAAACATATATATAATAGATTGACAAAAGAGATTTTTATAGTAGTTCAGATGCTTAAAACAAATCCTACATCCACCGTTATTTTATTATTCTCTGATTATTTTTCTGATATTGCTTGTAAGGCATACAAAATGAAAAAATATTTTGTTTATAAAGAGAAAATAATAAAGCTCAAATATTTGTTTAACTCTCATATGTCTAGTCAGCCCATTTTCCATGAAGAGAACCTTTATACCTTTGAGATCAATGTTATGGATGTTTTTACAAGTTGTCTTGACCCGTGGAGACTACTCTTTAATTATTATCTTAAAATGAGATATGATTGATATAAAATATTTCTTAAAAGCGGTTTTGGTCTTTGACAACCATTACCATCTTATTTGTAAGTGCTTGTTGAACTGTGATGAGTAATGCTGACCCTATTGTGTATTTTTGGCGCAATAATTTTGTTACCATGTGAGATTAATGTTCCTTAGGCCATCAAATCAAGAAAATGAACCATTTGATTTGATAAGTTGATGAATTCCCCACCATCCCTAAATTCTTTAGATGAAAATGAAGGCATAAGACAAGTGGCAAGCAGTGACAGGTGTTGGTCAGAGAATCTATCATTGGCTTGAAATATACAAGGGGTAGGATAAGTGAAGTAACTTTTAAAGGTTCCAAAAAGTAATCATCTCAATTGCAAATTGAAATAACAAATAAATAAATGAAAATGCTGACTGGAATCTTATTAGAGCGCACGTGTTAACCACCGTCTTCCAGTTCCAGGCGCCATCCTCGCTTCCATCAATTTACTCGGCTCCCACCCCCCACCATTTGCACGTGTTATGTTTCCTTATAAATCGATGGCGTTTACAAAAATACTCTTTCATAGGGTTCTTTTATTGTAAACACGTGTGTTGAACTTTTTTTTTTTATTAGGAAATACCCACAGTTTTTAGAAATATTATCAATTTTCGAATTTATTAACAATTTTGTCAAATTAATCTTTAAAAAATTGTATTAATCTCTTAACATTATTGACAAATTTTGAATGTTAAATTGATTGAATTTGGGGTAAATAGTAAAAAGGTGATTTCCTTCAAACTTAAATAAAATAATCTAAGATCCCTTTAAAGAAAATAGGAATTCTAGTATATTATTTATGAAACCAACGAGTTTTCATTATATAAGAATTAGGATCGTATTTCTAAAATCAGTTAGTACTCGTTAAAAATATCAAACACATAAGATTTCCTATATATAATAAATGAAAATTTGTATTTAGCTAATGTTAAATGTTTTTATAAGATAACATTAAATGTTGATAAAGAGTAGAGCTCACCTAAAAGACGGCCTTGGTGCTTTTAGATCTTCAAGACTTGAACTACTTGTGTTTTTTATTTTCTCATAACTAATAGGAGTACGGAGACGACGGTTGCTGTGCAAGTTGGTGTTGGTGGACAGGTGGCGGTGAAAATAGTTTATAGTTTATTAATTAACGATGTGAACGATGGTTATTGTTAATAAATTTGTATTTGGTAGGATATTGTAGAATTTCAGGCTGAATTAAATGTTTTAGGTATGATAATAACAATGAAATGAAATTAATGTCAAAGGACGGTGATGCCTCCCTTTCAGTTACTTATAACTCCAATAACTATTACAAAAAAACAATAAAAAAAAAGATGTAATGACGTTTAAAAGTCTCCAAAATCATAAGTATGGGAATCAAGCCCTCAATTGTTTTTTTATTCTTAACCCTTCATTATTATTCTTTAACTTTACGTGAAAGAAATTAGAGAATATTAGTACCAACTAAGATGCCATTTCCCTAAAGTTAAATCTTTAATCAACACATTTTATATAGAGATTATTTTTATAAACTCTTAATAATAATAATAGTGAATATGTAATAACATTGTTTTTGATATAAAATATGAACTCTATTGCAAACTTTACAGTAGATTGCCACCTACCAATATAGTTATTAAATGTTTTGAGACTTTTGCATGGCCAGAACCAAAAACATATTGAATATAATAAGGTGCACTTTTGGCAATGTGTTCTGTTAGGGCAAAAAATCATCCTTGGCCCAAATAGAAGAACGTGACTGAATTAGGAAGAGACTAAGCCCAATCCCGATGCGGTCCCATCCGGATTAGACCCATTTTATACGAGATACAGTTAACCCAAACCATTCGGGCACAAGCCTCCCAATCCCAGTTCACTTCCTAGACCTATGAGCGAGTTCAGAGCCCACGGCACCTATAGATCACCTTCCTATTTGGGATCAATCTCCTATTCGAGGTTACTTTCCTGTTCGGATAACTTTTCTATTCGAACACTGGTAAGACAGCTCACCACCGCCCTAATTCCTCTAGGGTTCGCATCAGAGTCACACGAAGACTCCTACTCCCACCAGGATTGGGAGAACAGACAGTCACTATATAAGCAAAGGCCAGCCCTCTCACAAGACACATTACATTACACTTTCACACCCGAAGCTCTTACTTGAGAGCTTCACGTCACTGTCGTAGTCACAGTCCCCGACTAGACTTCCGGTAACCTCTCTACTCCTTACCCTTTACTATACTAGCCTCTTTCAGTCTTGCTGACTTGAGCGTCGGAGTGACTACGGCCAACACCACTCCGGTGTTTCCCGTTCACTTCACGCATTTGTTTCTCTACGTGTACAAGTGCAGCGGATCGCTAGTAGCCTCAACCTTACGGGATCAGACCCCCCTTCCGTACATGTAGATTTTTACGTCTACATGTTCTACAAACTAAATCTCTAGAAGCTAGAAAAATCTATATTTATAATGAAGATGATGATCAAGAAGCATCCCCTTTTGATTTGGTTGCTTTCTTTTTCCTATATATGTTCATAAAATAATAAGAGCCCACAACCAGAAGCATAGGATATATATTACGAAAGAAGCCAGGTAGAGATACAAATATACAAGGAAAATTGATTAGGCATCTACTCGCAAAGAAAAGTCTCAATTTTCCTTCCCTTACTATTATATTCTGGACAGTAATGAGAACACTCGCTTTTGACAACTCTGAGATGATCGTTTTTCAAACCAAGAAACTTAGATTGTTATACAAGTAAGCCCAGCCAGGATTAAGAGGTAATGGTCCAAAACGTTAAAGTTGATAAATTTATAATAAAATATATATTGAAATAATAAGCATAAAAAATATATTTTTAAAAGTTATGTTTTTCTCATTTTATCTCTATCATTAGGATGATATTTTAAAATTTTAATCCTCAAGCTAGGATCTGCATGAAGACTACTTAAGTTAAGTTTAACATATATTTGTCTTAAACTAGATTCCATAGGCTTATTGTGAATACTATCGTAGCACCTTATGCTTTGTTCAATTGATGGTTCCTTATTATAAAACTTTTTTTTGATAAAAAAACTTGTCCATAACTAAAAAAAATAAAAAAAATTTTATTATCAGAAATATAATTTATTTGCAATTATAATTAAAAAAACAACACAAATTTATCAAAATTCAACTCATAA